GGACCAACTCTAACTAAAAGAAGTTTTGGGCGATAAAGACATGCTCAAAAGCTGAAAGTTTGATCAGCAACGGATAACTCGTAAACTTTTCTATCGAATGATGTATGTTTGAATTTTTTTTGGGCAATTCTCTTGGTTAGGAAACGTGAAATACTCAGGAAGTAAGATTTTCCAATTGTGGAACACTGCGTTTTTGCTTTAACTCAGTCAAATTAAGCCGGAACTATAGTTTGAACCGTGGAGATTTGTCTTTTTTCTCAGAATTTATAGTACTCAACGTAGGCTTTCTTTTGGCAAAAGAACGGCGTCTGCATCTACCAAGGAACTTGAGTTATTGCAAAAATAAAAAAGGTCTTAAACTTTTGTGGAGCACTTTTACTGGTACCGGTACCGGTACTGGTGCATACCTAATCTTGAATAATAACTGGAATCGTTAGAAGTTAGGCAAAATCCGCTAGAAAAACAAGGAAATTACACTTTCGCTACAACAGTTTCTTCCTTATAACTGTTTACTGACATTATCCCCGGACGGGCGGTTTGCGCAGCTAGGCTCAGGTCTACAAAATGAGTTTGATCTAAACGTTTGCAGCGACAGTCTATGTCATGATGGTATGTTTCTTATGGGTTTACTCATCTACATATTGTACTATGCAGATTTTCCATGAGCATTTCGAAATAAACTCCAATATTCACCTAAAAAAAGCTAATGAATATAAGAGATGAATATTTGAAGAACATTCAATTATTCAAGCACGTATGGTTCAAATTTTTGATCATTCCATTCAGTTCTTTCAGACGAACGGAACTTTCATATGCAGAACGAGAAAGAGACTTTCTTTTTTGACTGAAATGTGTGGATGAACATTCGAATACATTCCATCGCATCACTAGATGGCACATATATTATAGATAAAAGTTTTTTTTCTGGAAACCAAAAAGATTCCGTATCTTTTTCGATTTTAACAATAAATATACCAAATTTTTAAAAATTTTTCCATCTGGGAACTATAGTTTGAACCGTGGAGATTTGTCTTTTTTCTTTTCGTCAACAATAACTTTTCCTCATGATATTTTAGAATTTTAGAGTATATCGTTATGATCTAACGGCCAAGGAAAAAAAAGTGCTTCCCTTCGTGATTCTTAGACGTTTTTTTTCGGTAGTTTTTCTTTGCCTTACATACATTCCTTTCCAATGTAAGGCAAAGAAAAACTGCCGAAAAAAACGTCTAAGGCCGTAGCAACGCCATCCTTTGGCCGTTAGATCATTATACTCCGCCAACAAATATTACTTCCAGTGAGTCACTGTGATCGATTACCTCTTTGACAGCATTTTCGTCCAATCAAGTTGAAAAAAAGTGTGAACCTTCTCATTAAGTTGTGTAGCACACTGAGAGTTAATGCGCTATATCAGATGGGTCCTCCTACTGGCCTTTTTAATGAGTTGACCCGTTATTTTCCGAACTTATGATCCTAGACTGACAGTCAAGGGAATAAAGCATTTTCTTTTCGTTATTCTAAAGTCATTTACATGATGCACAAAAACAGTAGCTTATTATAGCTTATTTACATTAGTGAGCAATAATTCAGTGAATATATAATTTGTTCTTTTCCTTTCGAGAATTAAGTTTGGTGTACAGTACCAGTTTAAGAAATGCACATAAATTTTTTTCACACAAAACTTCCTACGAAAAGGTCCCCTGTCGTCATGAAGTAAATATAAAGCGTAGATTGGGTATCTGTACAATACACACTTACAAAATGAACGTAGTAACTCTTTGTATCTTTGTTGGTAAGTGAATTAATATTTGAGCTGATAGACTAGGAACTTTTTTCGGTTTTTTTATTTCAGCTGTCTTTATTTCGGGTAAAGACGCTGCTGCTACAAACGAACAGCAACAGTTCAGTCATTGGATGGTTAATTTGCAATGGATCAGCAATCAGCAGAGAGATCATTTATAAAGAATGTCCAGATTTTTGAACAGCTAGAATCTGACAAGTCGCCATAGCGCACAACGATCGGGGTACAGCTGCAGAAACCAAAAGTGGCGCCTTTTTCTTGATTTAAAATACAGCTGCAAGACGAAAAAAAGAATTAATTTTTTGATTTCCAGAAAAAAAAATTTTATCTATAATATATGTGCCATCATTCATCATATTTTAAAACATTATCAGAAAAAAAAAGCCAGGTCAAACTTACTTCGAATATAAATTCATGAATATCTTTTTTTCATTTAAAAATTTTTGGATACCATTATTGAAATGTTCGAATAAAATTTTGTAAATAACCTAAACCATAATCATATATATTTATTGAAAACAATACAATTAAAACTTACAATCTTTGTCCACATCGTATAGAATATCATCACGTTCGCGTTTTGATGATGATATAAATAATCTTTTTAATATATTTTCTAGAACAAAAAGGAACTTTTAGCATTAATTAAATTGTATGATAATCCACACATACCATCTTGATCCCAAGTTATACTTTCATTTATACTTAGAGCAATTTTTAAAAATTCTTGTTTTATCATTTCCAATATTTGAGTTTCTAGTGCAAAATCTGTCATGTCTAAATGAAGAAATATAACAAAGTTATGATTAACGCTTCCTTTCCTGACTTAAAGTTTTTGATTTTTTTGTGACTATTGTATAGTCTCAAGTAGTATATATCTACTAAATACATTTTTGAACCAGAAAATTGTCATTAAACGTTGACAAATTCGAATGTAAGTAACGGGAACTTCATACTCAAAAGATGATTTATGAATAAAAAATAAAAAATAATTTTTTTTTGTGGATAAACCAAATAAATTCGTAAGATTACTATAAAATATTGAAAACAATTTTCTTTATTAATTAATGGTTGAATATTTTGTATTCATCATTCTGGTATAATGATACATCAATTATTTCTTCAATTATTTAAATATGATATTTTCAAGTGATAAAAACAATTGATTTACTATTTGCTAATAAATAACATATTAATACAGGTTTGAAAAACTCATATTTACTGAGAATACTAGCCACTAGGTGATTGACAAATTTTTATATGAAATCATCAAGTTATTTATCCTGTTTTGAATATTGAAAATTGTATATTGCTGACTACTGCTTTTCTGAATTATTTTCGATACAATTGAATTCATTCGTTTTTGAAATAGATAGTAGTCATTTTCTTTGCGCTAGTGGTATGATTTTATGTACAGAACGTGGAAAATTTTTTCGTTCTGTTGATATTTTTATTTCAAAACAGAAAACAAATAAAATAGTTTAGTCATCACCATTGTCATCTTTACAACTAGTACATACCATTATAGAACATATAAATGGAACTATTCGAAAACTATCTCATCAGTTTGGCGTTTCTTAAGCTGGTATTTCATCGTGTATACAAAAAACCTTTGCATCGAAATTTTTCTCAGTGGAGAAGCACTTTTCTAATTCAATCCTATGACCTTACCCACATGTAATGCTGTGCCATGTAGCATAATCCCAAAACTACCTTTCTTCCCTTGAAAAATTTAGTTATAAAGTACTTCTTTATATACGGTGGAACACCACCTTAAGGATTACCCATCAGTTTTCGAACATTTAAAACTTTTCTTCTCAATTTCGTGATCATAAAATATTGACCCCGCCTCCTCGCCAAATAAGTGTTTGATTAAAATATAGCTATGTTTCTTGAAAAATCTCAAATAATAAGAAACTTTTCTTGTTTTTATAATCAAATATGGTATCAATGTTTCTGCTAATTGGACGAAAAAAACACATCCTTAATTGTGGACTGAACATCTCTTGCGACTTATTTCATCACATTATTTGCGGAATCACACATTTTTTAATGTCTTACTATCGTCAACCAGCAGATGTTAGTGTAAATATGATTAGTTCTAGATCGTTAGTTTCTAGAGTGTTATGCCGTTTTATATCTAAATCCTGGTGAGTATATAGTAGGCAACCTCCTCCTCGTCGATTTCTATCTCTTCTAAGCGGTATATGATAATTCGGAAGCATTATTCTGCAATAGTCGGTAGCTGAGGTTAACCATGTCTCTACGAGTGGAATAATGGCACACTTTGAAATAGCAGCATATGCTCGTAGAACATCAAATTTCGTAAAAGAGGCTGCAATTGGCTCTAATTTACATGCGTTCGAAAAGGCACAAGATAGAAGGCTACGTATGTTAAAAAGTGATATTTGTATGTTTCTGAATGCTCCTGTCCCATGTGGACGGAGTTTGTATTGCTTGTCATAAATTAATTCTGTCTGAGTCTCTAGTAACTAAGAAGGCGGTTGTAAAATTACTAAATATAAGTATTTCAGGATGTCATTGGTTATAATGTTGATAAATCCTCAATGACCGACAAACTCATTACTGGCTTGTATGCATGATTCTCGTAATTTACACCATGAAAACCACCTATAACTTGACACGTTTTCTCCATACCAGTCTTCTCGTTTACAAGTTTTACCGGCACATTAATAGCATTCAGTTCGATATCTTTATACAAAGAAAAAAAATATAAAAAAATAAGATACAAATCTTAGTAGACAAGATTCACGGAATCAGTTTGTAAAAATATAGGCCTCGATTCTGACGGGACCAAGACTATGTTACACATTCCTGACTGATGGAGGAACTGTTCGAAGTGATTCTCGCCGCTGCTGGCCCCATATTTTTTGCACACAAGCATCAGACATAGACTAGGAAAATTTCAAGATGATATGATCCTATATTAGAATTTTATTGAGATAGAGAAGTTTTACTGAAATCTTCATGTATGACTCTGGTCTTCCGGCTAAAACCTATTTTTGAATTTTGACATAAAACTTTGTACATATTGAGATCGCAACTAACGATGGCAACTCCTCAGATGTGCTCTTTCAATTCATTGACTTTTTGCCTATAAATGCTATGTGGCCTTCCAATAAAAACTCTAAAATGATTTTGACTCCTACTGAAATCCTACTGAAACAACATGGATCTGTTATCAATTACCAGATAAAATTATGTAAAAAAGATATTCTTATGTTTATTTTCTCAGCCATATTAATATCGTCGTCCAAAATAAGTAATAAAAATATGAAGCTGAACAAAAGTATGCATCGCTTTTTTTCCAATACTGTTTTCTTACCGGGAATACCCATTCCAGTGCCCAAATCACCAAAAAATGAGGTCACATTTTGAGTTTTTGACTACAAAAAGATTGTCTCCGAGCAAAATTGGTATGATATTCGGAATCAGTATAAAAGACTGCATCGAATAACCTATATTTTATCAAAAACTATTTTCCGTCAAAATCCAACCCGTGGAGGCCTCATGGAAAAATTCAGTAAAAAATACCTGAGGAGGAATACTGTTCAGTTGTTTGATTTATGTTGATACTTCTCTGTGTGATGAAATATTATATAGTTTCTTGGCATAGTTGACTAAAAATAATTCCAGTATCTCTGTATACATCTGTGTAGATAGTCCATTATTACCTATCTTTACACGTCTCCAAAATCGTCCGAATAGTTTGTTATAAATTTCTTTGTCAGTCAAATGTGATCGATTTTGAGATATGTCACATTCGTATGTCTCTGAACATGTTGTGTTATTTTACATCAGTGCTTCTCAATAGAATTTAGTTCACAGTGATATTTGGGACCGAAAAAAATTTTAATTTATATTGCTGTGCTGATTGTTCAAGTTTGGACATTTGGAAAACGAACAGAACTAGACGTTTCAAGGAGAAAATCACTTACTGTACAATAATCTTTATGATAAAAAATATTTGACACACATTAAAATCTTTGCCGAAACATCCGGATGTTGACTTAATAAATTCGTCCAGTCATAAGAAGAAAGTTCTTGTCTAAAACTATTCCAATCGGTATTCTTATAGTCATAAATTTTCGTTTGATATTTGAAAGAATTAGCGTTGAAAGAATCTTTTGGTATGTGTACCTAACAGAGCTCCGTATGGACTCAAATTTTTGAGCCCAGTCCAGTCCATGGACTCTAGAAAAGCAGTCCAGTCCAGTTCAGTCAGAGTCCAATAGGTTGACTAAATAGGCCAATGGACTATGAAAACCATCAGAGAATTAGGTGCTTTTGCCACGCTAAACCACATTTGATGAAAATAAGGTGGTATATGCAGACTTTCCATTTTTTTTTATTTTCCTCATTTGACTGATGATGTACTTAGAATAAAGTACGAAACGTCTCAAAATGATTAAAGCGGCGTCTATTGTTCTCATTTTCAGTATTAAATGTATTCACCGTATCCACAAAAATCCAATGATTCAGTTGTCTTTTTTCTTTTCGTCAACAATAACTTTTCTTCATGATATTTTAGAATACTTATAACTGTTTATTATAGAAAACAAATTAATCTTATATGTATTGAAGAATTAAAACAATTTTTTTTCAAATATTAGTATTCTAACGATATATATATACACATCGTACATATTTTTATTACTTATTCTGGACGACGATATTAATATGGCCGAGAAAATAAGCATAAGAATATCTTTTTTACATAATTTTATCTGGTAATTGATAATAGATCCATGTTGTTTCAGTAGGATTTCAGTAGGAGTCAAAATCATTTTACCATGTGACTGGAATTAGATCTCAAAATATACGTGAGATAGATTGAATATGTAGATTAAATATACGTGTGATTGATAGAATCAATGGGAGAGCAAAAACGTTTCGGATTTGAAAAAAATTCAGAAAGCAGTTTTGCTTTAAGTGAACATCATCAAATCTGATAGAAAACGGTTGTCCTTTCGCCACACCTTTTAGTGGAAAAAAATGCGAAATCGAGGATGGGAGTGAGTTTCGTTTTGGTAGAAAAAAACTGACTATCAAAATGTGTGTAAAAATGGTTTTGATTGTGTGTTGGTCATAATCTAATAAGAAGCTGCCACCTTCTAATTGTATCCGATTATGTTCAACAAATTGTAATTGTGGGATAGTTGCATATTGATACTGAT